TGTTCCCCAGCACTGCAAGATAGGTAATTGCATAAACCCTCTAGAATGAGTGAGTGCTAGATTCAACAGCGATACTCCCAGGAGTATTGAGAAAAATCTATTGTCTGCCACCAAAATCTAGCACTTAACCTATGCAAGGTCTTATGTTTTAGAGCAAAAGAGATAAAAGCTTACGCTTCTCAGAATGTCTAACCTACGCCTTTGTTATAATCTTAGATTTTAATCTGAAATCTGAATTTTGCAAGAGCAGCTCTGGAGTCAGCCAAGTCTCGATCCATGACCAGAGGGAAGTGCTGTAGCTTGAGCCCTCCTCCAGTCCGGATCTAGAGCTGGCATTAACAGCTCTGACATGGCTTGCCGAATTTGGTGCTTTTTCTTCCCCCCAGCATTACTGCTTAGCTGCGCAGGCGGTGCTGGAGTAATATGGAGACAGGAAGCACACCATCCATCTGGAAGGCATTAGCCTACTTTGCAAAATTAAAATCTTTTGTCACAGAATGATTCCCCTGTATCCCATGTCAGCAACACTAAAAAGGCTCCGGCTGTGGATGCTTCGTTCTGGTGCTCGTGCTGTGAGCTACATGTGGGGCGTCAGTAGGAGCGTAAATATATCCAAGTCTCAGCTTTTTACCCGTAGAGGTGAGTGGCCTTTTTTTCTACTGACTTTTACAAGAACAAAACAGAGGCTTGGATTAGTGGAAATGGCTTCTGCACAGTGAAATTATTGATTGTTAAACAGCACTTATATTTGTCTAGCACTTCAGCTGCTTGCAAGCCTCCAACAAGCTATTCTGAATTGTTTTAAAACTGCTGTGTGCCAGAATCTGCCATACACCATGGATTTTTTTTAATGCAGTTTGAAGTTCTGGACAATTTTGACAATTCTTAAAGACAAAATTTGCCTGTCAGAAGTTCTTTATTGTGGCTGAGCAAAAGAACAGGCCAAATGTGTCACCCGGTTTCACAGAATTCATGCTGGGAACGACTGAAAATGACCAGCTAGTTTTCCCCACTCTAACTTATAAGATTAAGATATAGAAGTATTTTTAAAACATTTTAAGAGAAAAACCAAAATCTTAAATTAATTGCCAGAAACTTTCCTCTTGCTGAATTTTAAATAGGATACCAAAGAACGACACCTTATTTTCTAAGGCAAACTGTAAGCAAACTGACATTGTCTAAAAAATACTGCTGCCCATTTCACGAGGGATAGCAACTGGTTTTCAATAATTCTCTTTAGGCAGATGAGTGTCTCATCTCTAAGTGAGATAACTGCACATGCAAGTCCGCTAGCAACCTGCCGCCTGGAACGTGCAATCACACTATGCATGTTCACGATGGGGCCTGATGTTTCTTTTTTCCCCTTTTCTTTCTTTTTTTTTTTTTGCCACTATCCCCAGCTGATCATTTGAGCATCCTACATCATGTCCCCCTTCTTATTATGAGGCGTAAACATATAAAGCAGACAGAAAAAGTACAGGCTCAAGAGCGAAGGCTTTTGAGCCTTCAAAGGGGTCCATGCAGGCAAGCCCATGAGCCCCTGCCGTGCTCCACTGAAGCTGCTTTGCAGGATGCACCCCTTCAACAGAAGGATAAGATTTGCATGGCTCGTAACGTGTTCTTTCAGGCACTTTGCTGTAGAGAGGGTGGGGAGAGGATATTTTTATGTGCTACAAATAGTGTCCTTGTTCTTGCATTAGTTATATTTCCTCCTAATTTTTAAGACATAGATGTTAATCTGTATGTGTGTTTGTGTAGGTGCATAGATATATATATATATATTTCCATAGCTATATGGATGTATATGATTTTATGTGTACACACACATAGACACACACACACAGAGTTACATTCTTGGGTCACGATCCTGGAAGTGGCTCTGGTCCAGCAGATCTGTGTAGCCACATAAAGCCAGCTACTGGATCAAGGGTTCATAAGATGTGTATAATATAGACTACATTTTAGTGGTTTTATTTACAGCTTCATGAGGTCAGGCTGTGCTACTCTATCTGCTTTTACATGCAACCATTAGATAAATAATACAGCTTTTACCAACTTCATATTTATTTCTGGAGAAAAGGAGTATCCTCAGACATAGCGTTACACATTGTTGTCTCTTTTTAAAAGTAAAGCAGATAGATAGATAGATACATTAAAATTATCTAGCTGTGCTGAAGAACTTCAAAATATACAGTACTAAATTATTTCTTGTTCTTGCTGAGCAGTGTTTTTCCAGTATTAATATTTTGTTACATAATGCAACTTGCTCTTTTTCTGTAGAAGCGTTAGATTAACCTTGGAAGAGTTAATACCATTTTGTGAGCAATTTGTTCTCACTTTATCTGGAAGATAGCCATATTTGCACATGAGGAAGTTCTGTCTTTCCTCAGTTATCTGAATGTTTCACCACAGTGCCTTCCTGCCATTGTACCAAAGGCTTCCAAATATATTGTCTACAGGGTGAACAACTCTAATGCATTTTCCATCAAAGTTATACCATGCAAAGTACATGGGGCTCATTGGAACGCAAAGTTCATCTCCTTCTTTTGGTGTGTGTGTGTGCATGTGTGAGGGGTGTTTTATTTCCATTTTTTCCATCCAAGCTTTGGCTGCAAATACAGGATGAGCTTCTATAAACTTCTGCATCAAATATATCAATACATAGAATAAAAATCATCATTCATGATAATATGTAGACATGATATGTCTGAGAGTGGAATGGGAGTTGACAGATATCAGGAAGATTTTTTTTTTTGTCAGTTATGAGTGTTGGAAGTAACGTTTGCCAGGAGAGTAATTGCTCGTGAAGATACTTGCAATGAAATATGAAGTGCCGTTTTTGTTTTTCTCCATGAGAATGAGCAAAATGTAAGATCTGAACAGCAGCGATGGAATGAAAGTGTCTAATGTATGTGTTTTTATTGGTAGAAAGAATGTAGAAGAGCCATGGTTTTTGCACTTGCTTTATTTGTATCCATGTAAATATGTATCACTTCCATTCTTCCTGTAGGAATCCAGCATTTTCTGAATGTAGAATATTTTCAAAAACAGCACTATGTTATTCTCTATTGTATAAAATGCTGCTGCTTGATAATATACCTAAAACAGTTCTCAAATTAGCTAGCATGTTTTTTAAAGTATATTTTGTAATCCATATCTTTGCAAAAAAGTGTCTATGCTTTTTGTCTGACCAAATATGCAACACCTTTTGGATTAAGGATAGTATTTATAAAGGATCAATTTTCATTTTTCTGAGGGTATTTTCTATGCAATTGTTGTTGAATTTTTATTGTCCTAAAAAAAATGTATTTGATAAATTTTCCAAAGACTTCAAAGACAGCTTTAAACACTTTAGAAATATTTTTTTAAATATTTCAATCATCTGACTTTTTTCCCTGAGTTACTTTCCAAATTTTTACTTAATAGAGAACAATCATCTGCCAGATGGGATTCAAGAAAGTGATTGTCTTAATTTCAAATCTTAAAATGCATCATAGATCTTCATAAATTTTGCACCACTTAAAATCATCTGATGTTTCAGTTTATGTGCCACCCTATATGTTATTTATATTACCTGTTCCTGTGCAATACGAAGAAACGCCTATGTTTTGTTTAGAGTGAGTGAATTGCAAATTCTCCAGAATCATCTGCTTGTTTTCCTCCTTGTTTACATTGCAGTGATTTCTTCCATGTAAATGTAAGGCATCTACCTGCCATCAAACGTGGACAGTTACAATTCTTTATTCATCTCAGTTCAGAATGACTAATCCACCCCTTTGAATGTTTGACATAAAAATGACATCCCTCTTCTTTCCTGTCTGCTACTTTATAGTGGCAGTGGGTGACAGCTGATAGCAATTTGCTTAGCTACCAATCAGTATGTAAGCCAGTGTAGTCTGTACAAGATTTGTTTAGCCATTTTTGTTGTTCCTGGTGTACAAAAATTAAATTGGTACCTGATCCACATTGCAAGAAAAATTTCAGATGAAGGTGCTGGTACTGTAAAGGATCATAAAGGCTAGAAATGTGTGGTTGCTGGGGAAAAATTCGTATTTTGAGTTTCTTGTCAATAACTGCTACAAAAAAGCAAAATTGGGTTGAAAGTTCTAGAATGACTGAGTCACAAAAGTGAACAATGATCTCTATGTTTGAAATAGCCCAGAAACTCACAGATGTGTGTTGGAATAGTCAGTTATTTTTGAAGAGCTATAAGAATGAAACTGCCATTGTGTTACTGATGCTGATCGGTACCTTACTACATAAGTAGCCCGATGAGACCAGGGAATATATAATCAAGGCACAGCTCAGTCTTAATAATGGTGGCCTAGCTGGGACCTTCACATCTCTGTGTGCATGTGTGCACGTGTGTGTGTAATTATGAAGAGTCTGAGGGGTTTTTTTGTTTTTGGTTTGGTTTTTTTTCATTCCCCCAGAAGTTCAAACCTCCTTGCTGGAGTCCTACCCTGCATGTTCAGGTAATAGCATACATTAACCGTAGACACACAAAGTGAGCAATTGTCTCTCGGATCATTCTAACAGATGTCTTTTTAATCAAATTGTTTGTTCAAAAGTCTAACTTCAAGAATTGAAAAGGGGTTTATATCATTCACATTCCTACAACAACATTGTTAACCTCCAATGTAATGATTTTTTTGCTATCTGTAAAATATTTTTATATATTGCCTGTATTATGGTAGTTTAGCAATAAATGAAAGGATATCTGCTGCATGAGTGTTTGGTCTATTCTTAAATGCCTTCATGCCCTTTGATAAAGTCACATCGAGGGGCTGAGTCACCCAGTCTTCTTGTCACTGCCACCCTCCTAAATACACACAAAGAAACTGTCCCGGGGGCTTTTCAACGTGGGTAAGGATTTCAGAGTCTGCAGCACAAGACATAAATGAAGTTCCCAGTTTTCCTTTGA